ATCTGGAAGCAATGTAAGGGTGGAAGATGAAAGAGGGAAATGATCAGAGGTTGGAATATTACACAGGAGGCTATTGCAATAACTAATATAAAATGATAATGATGAGACTAGTGAGGCAAGAATGGGAGGAGAAAGGAAGAGACAGATCATAGAAACATAGTGGAAGGACTGTGGAAAATTAACAGGACTTTTTGAATGACTAAATGTGGTGGGACAAGGATAGGGAGAAATCTAAGATAACTAATATTTCAAGCCCAGGTGGTTATGCTATTGATAGAAATAGGAAAGTCAGGCACAGGACATGTTTTGTTTTGTTTTTTTGGCAGGGGTGGGAGCAATGGAAATTGAGGCAAAGTAAACTAGATATAACAAAGTATTGCTGTTATTCTGCATTTACATATTTTCCTCTCTACCCTGAAATATAATTCCAACAATTGAAGTATTATAAAACTTAGTATGTTGTGATACTAATCTTCATACCACTATGGGTCCAACTAAAAAATGAGTCCCAGGTATTACAGGATCATATCCACACTAATTTTTTAAAATGACAAGTAAGGACTTCATTGAGAAATTTAACAATATTCAAAAAATTTACCTTTTCAGAATATCTTCAGCACTCCTAGACTTCATTACAACTAGTATGTAATTTACCATGTCTATCACTAGGATGCTAGATTATCACTAGTGCCCTAGTTGCATCTGTAAATTAACTATATCAGTCCTTTCAATTCACTAAGGGTATACTACAGAGCATAAAAACCACTGATTTTTTTTTAAAGGAAACATGTAGCATATAAAATTTGGTTTGTGTAAGGCCTGGGAAGAAAAATTATTTCATCACTAAAACAAATTACTGTTCTGGCTTTTTGAAAGTATAACCTATATTATATGTCTGCAATAATTAAAAGAGTTAATAATTGTCTGACTACTCTTGATTTGAACTCTAGAAGACTGAATCCTAGTTGATGCAATAATCTCTGAGGTCAAGGTCATTCCCTTGGAATATCATGGACAATCAGAGCCAGTTGACTAAAAGGTGGCATTGATACCAACAGAAAGGTATCTTAAAAACTGTACTCAGAAACATAAAAGTGATATGCCATTGTGTGTCTGCGTGTATGTGTGTGTGTGTGTGTGTGTAAGAGACACACTGACAGAGACAGAGAGACACAGAGAAAGAGAAAGAGGGGGGAGAGACAATGAATATTGGGACTTTCTGTAATTACTCATTGAGGTAACAAGAGAATTCTAAGGTCCATATGCCTTTCCCTAATCAGTTTCCCATAGAACCTGTCATTTCCTTTTAGGATAGTGTTTCTCAAGATTTTTCCACTAATGAACCCTCACCTTGACCACACACAGAATTCAATAAAAACATGAATTGCCCTCAAAAGAAGGAAAAAGGGAGAGGCTGACTGGTATACTACTTGGAGAGAAAGGAAACTTGGCCTTAACGTGGCACATGTAGACAGACTATGTGTGCTACCAGGGAAGATAGAGATTTGGACCATTGCAAAGAGCACAGATTAGACTCTTTAGTAGAGTGTATTATAATTGGTCTCTGTCATTCCTCTGAAAAACCTACAAGACTCTGGAAGGAAGGGGTAGACAGAAACATATCATGGCTATTCATCTGAGAATTATATTCCTCAAAGGGAAATTTTCCAAGATACCCCAGAACCTTGAGCCTACTTTAGTTAAAATATTTTAATATTTCAAAAGGTCCATCATTTTATTGTACACATTACAGCATCACCTGTGTTATTGTAGTGAGTTTTCATGAGCTGTTGTGGCCGTAAAATATCATCACCTGATAGCTGTTGTGGCCGTAAAATATCATCACCTGATAGCCAACCTCTGACGTGCCTCTATGAACTTAACTAAGTTGATCCTTGCCCAATAGTAGGCATGCCTGGCCTTTCCAGCTTGGTAGAACCTACCAAAACTTGTGTTCTTCTGGCAAAGTCATTGAGAATTTAGGATCAACTCTACACCACCATGAGGCACTGAAAGTTGTGCTTTAGTGGAGATCCAAAATCTGAGTCCACAAGGAGCTGGTTCTCCTATATAACAATACAGTGCTTTTCGTGGGGGAGCAAAAAGAGGATCTAAGTGTTGTACAGAATCTACTTGATATTTCTCCAAGATCTACCCAATCCAAAACAGCTTACTGGTAAGGGAAGCAATAAAGCATCTAATTTTCCAATTCTGTTGTCTTAAGTGTTTCTCTCATCTCAAAAACCTTTAAACACTCACTGTAACTTCCTTTCGTACCCTCAGTTCCAACAGCATCTAGTAATTTTTCATATTATTGGAATGCCCAAAATGAATCAATCAGCTTTTCAATTTAAAATATATAAGTATAGAAGTCATTCCTTTCTTTATAAAATTTATGTCCAACTTGACATAAAAATAATGCTATTATGAAAACAAGATCTAGTGGTCAACAAGCTAGCAATTCATAAGGTGACAGTTTATCTCTCCTCTCAAGCCCCCTTTCCCCATGTTTGACCCAAATGAACAAGAGACAAAGAAAAAAATCAGTCTTTGCCTCAGTGCTATAATAAAAAGCAAAAGAAAATTTCTGATAGATGGCAGGTTTGAATTTTAATTAGCTCATTTGTTCCAATTTGTTGTTTAAATTAAAATGCAATTATCAAAATGTCAAAATTGCAATCTGCACTAGCAAAACACTCATTTTGAAGGAATTAATGAAAAGTAAGTATAATTTATTAGTTTAAATAATTTTGCATCTAAGATTCTGGAAAGGAAAAAAAAATTAATGTGCATTCATTCATTAAATTTTAATAGGAAGTATAGTCATTTCTGGGCGCCTAAATGGCATAGGAATAGAGTGCCAGGCCAGGTTCATCTCCCTGAGTTCAAATCTGGCCTACAATGCTTAGTAGCTCTGTGGAAGTCACTTAACCCTGTTTGCCTCAGTTCCTCATCTGTTAAATGAGCTGGAGAAGGAATGGCAAACCAGTTCAGTATCTTTTCCAAACAAACCTCAAATGGGGTCATGAAGAGTTGGACATGACTGAAATTACTGAACAACATGGTCATTTCTATTTTCAGATGGCAACAGAGATGAATAGATTTGGCTTTGTTTACCCAGTTCCCTTGGCAGAGCTCTGGATATAATCCAAGACTTAAGACTTCCAGTCTTTTCCTCTGAACAGGAGTCTCCATTCCATCTTATTACAGACATCTTCAGTAAAGTGATCAATAGTGTATGTACTTACACTTTAATTTCTCTAAATGTAATTTTAAAAATAGAGACCATCTGCACTTGATGTATGTGACATTCAATTTTAGCATCTTGATTTTATAGGCTTCATGCTTTCTTGTTTAAAATGACTATATTAATTATATGATAGGTCACCTGATTAATATCTAAATTAGGGTGAGTAATTGTATTTCTGTCAAAATGTAGATACAAGCATATTATTTGATGGAATATTTTGGAAATAAACCTTATTACTTCCCATGTGAACCTAATTTTTTTTTTGCCTCCCTGATCTCAATCCAGTTGGGATATTTAAGGAACTGTGAAAATTGGTGGCTGTAAAATCAAAATTGTGTTTGCAATTAACTTAAAGTCAGCACTCAAATCATACCACTTGCAAAGTACTATGGAACTACACAAAACCACAAAATGGAATGCTTTATTTGCAACAGTTGAAACTCTTATTTAATCACAACCTCAATAGGTATGTCTATTGCATTCTCCATTGATCCATAATATGTTAAAATTGAGGAAAGCTTCAGGGAAAAATGGAAAAGTGAAATTTTAAAATTTGATTATTTCACTACAAAAATACCAACAATTAAAAGAACTCTAACAGCTACTACAGAGACATTAACAACAAAAATTGTAAGGCATTTTTTCCCTTCATGATATTTCTTAATTATGCAGGCTCATGAAAGATTCACAGTCTTATGGTTGCTTGAGTGCTAAAAGAAGACTGCTGTTGCAGCAATATTGCTAAAACCTCCCTGTCATAGTCTTTTTTTTTTCCATAAAGAATTTACTCCATCTGTTTAGTAGGTCCTTTCAGGCTACAGTACATAGAGATCACATCTAGAAAGCATGGCCTTTGGTGACTTCACATAACATCCCAGGTCTATTCTTATATCTCCTGGTTTGCTTCACTAAGACACCTGGCTTTGGTTTAATACAAACTGCCGTGAGATTTTGGCCAGTCTCACTGCTGCTCTTTCCAATAGAGTAGTAAATCTGTCTTAGGGATAGTGCCTACCGCAGTGCTCAGGGTTTAAAACTATGGTTCGATTTTTATTTCCAGCAGGCGCTGACCGTGGTTCTGAATTCATGAGGACGGGTCTCAGCTGAGCCCACTTATTCCAGCTATTGGTGAAGAAGATTCGATTGACAAGGAAAGGGACCAAAGATCCGGAGAGCAGCCTAAGTAGCTCGATGTGGGCCATTTATTTCGATCCTTTGGGCGGAGATGTGGTCCACCAGATTAGGGCCAATGCATTTATGTGAGCTCTAGCTGAACCTGCTTACCAAGAGAACATATAGCTATAAAGGAGGTTCCTTCAAGCAGAAATCTTTACCACACTCCTAAAGACAGATCCAGGTACATCATATACGAATAGGTCTGGGGGAATCAAAATCCTGCACGGTCAATGAAAACGTGGATATTAGTATTACGAATAAGACATGTCTACGACGCATCTCATTGCACTCAAGTAATACATACATGCGTACATATACATGCATGTGGATGTATGCACACATATATACATATATTGTATATAAGTATATATACCAGTTCCAATTTTAGCTCAAGCTCCTTGCCTTTTTCCACCAACAGGTGCGTCCCTCATTCTCTTCCCACCAGGCACTGGCTTGCCTTCCCTTTTCTTATCCTATCCCTGACATCCCAAGACCGGTTCTTCCTCCAGTCCTCGAGCATGTGCGACTGCGAGGCTCATCTAGGTCTCTGGCTAAAAGCGCGGCAGTATCTTACCTGCAGCGTGGAGATTAACAAGCAGGCACAGTGCAGGGAAGCCGATTGCTCTCTGCATAGTGGCTGCATGGAGAGGTGAGGAGAATCAACCCCGGGCGATCTCACCACTGGCAAAACGCAAGAAGAGTCGATGGCCAAGTATCTTCCTGTTGGTGTTCGAAGATTCCTAGATCTCGCCCTGGATATTGTGGAGCGGTCTGTGGCGCTGACGGAATCCAGCAAAGCAAACCCTCCTTTCCTAGGTTTCCCAAGGGGAGGGGAGGTGGATAGAGGGAAAGAGAGGGCGGGAGAAGGGAGCAGGGTCGGGTTCCAAGTAGGCTTGGGACATATGCCTGATCAATTATAGTTAACGCCTTCGGAAACAAGCACTCACTGCGAACGCGGCGGGGAATGGATTTCTGGTCTGTCCCTTTCCAGCCTGGCAGTTCTGCTGCATGTGAAGTGAGAAAGCGTCTTATTTGCAACCCAAACCTGCCTTGGCTACTGAGCATGCCCAGTTTCTGTACTAGAACCACACTGGAGTTTCAACTTGGGATTCCACTTCTCCAGCTCTTAGCAGCAGCTGAGAGGGGAACACAGACCCCACAGAATTGGAAAAGGGGCTGTGATTTGGGATTATCAAAGACACTATAATTTCTGGGACTAAGAGCCTGAGAGACAGGTGAAAAAACACCTGAGAAAGCATTAAGCATATTGATAACGCTTTACCTTGTTGCCCAAATACCCCATTTCTTACTTAAAGGAGGCCGACTTGCTTGGATGCATCATCCCAAAGGATTTATCTGCAGGGATAAAGGTTGGTTCTCCCGTTCTCTGATTTTCGGTTGCTCGAGTGAGGTGTTAGTTATTTATTCTTCATCCTGCCCCGATTTCCCTCATGGTCCCACCCACCCCCAATCCCTTCTCCATTGCTTCCTTCTCACTTCTTTTATTCTGACCACCGTTTGAGTCTACAAGCAAAACACCAAATGATGCCATCATTCAGACAATTCAGCCTGACTTTTACTTGAAAATGCAAGGCAGAAAATGGAAGCAAAAGTAGGTGGAGGGTTTTTAGGTTATCCACACAATTACCTGATCTCCATTTTATTCTCCCTTTTCAACCAGCACCCACAAGGTAAAATAGCTTCACCTCACCTCAATCTCTCCCCGAATCTTTTCCAGGCCTCTAAGTATGCTGGCACTTAAACTATCCAAGCCAGATGGTCACCTACTTATATCTAAGACCTTCAAGGTTTCGCGTCCACAACCCATCCAGTTCAGTAATAAATTACTCTCAGATACCAAAATTTGTAAGTCATCCTAAGAACTGAGAATTGTAATGTCCAATACACCATTGGGTAAAAAATAAATAAATAAAAGTGCTGCACACAAATCGAAAAATAAATTACTCTCAGATAATACTTTTATTTCATTTGATTTCCTCAAATTTCTCTGAATGTACTCTGCTTGTTCCTTTCTTCTTCTTCTTCTTCTTCTTCTTCTTCTTCTTCTTCTTCTTTTTGCTCATGATATTTCCCTCCAGGGTATATATTTCACCGTTTTCTCTAACAACAGGTTCTGCACAACTCATGACACCCCCTTCATGCAGACCTATGTCTAATCCCACACCACAGAGATCTTTTCTCACTTTAAATTCCCATATTGATGAATTCCCCCATATTATCTCGTACTTGAAAATGCATTCACTTACACTCACTTTAAAATCATTTCTTGCATTTATCTATTTCTCTTGAATTAGATTAAATTAGATTAAAAATTAGATTTAAAAAGCTGCTAATTATTTTGTTATAACATAATCCCAGACACATCATGTACAAATATATACTTATTGAATTTAATGGAATATTTAAGTGAGTGTTCTCTTCCTTAGTATTTAGTGAAGTCGGGATAATTAGTGGTTGACTACACACAAAAAGCTTAAATCAGGTAGCATTTCAGATGCTAGATGATATACTTGGTAAAAATCTAATTGATTTCAGGTCAAATGTTGATTGATTTGTACACACATGTAGAAAAAGACAGAGCTACATTGGTATAGAAGAAAAATGAGTTGTACCTTTAAAATACTGACATTTTGTTTGTCTGGAGCTCTCCTGTGACTTGAGTAGGAAAAAGCAAAACACTAGACAGGCAAAATCCATTTTGGCGATGAGCAGTCATGCTCTCTGGAAGCCTCAATAAATTAAGAATATTGTTTGGAACTAAAGTTTAAAGAATTAACCTATCTCACCATCATAGCAGTTTGTGGTATAGCTGCCACCCTTCAGGGAAGGGGCATCATCCCTTAAAGAGAGTTACTATTAATCCCTCCCTAAATTCAGCTAATCTCCATGCATAGGAAGGTCTCTGGAAAAGGAAGCTTTTCAATGAAAGAAAAATGTATAATGTAAAGGAAGTGGGTATACATGCATATCAGTGAAACAATAGCTAAACAGTAAGACAGTGAGCACCATCTTTTCCCACAGGCAGGTCCAACCCTCCTTTGGGTGTGTGGGGGGGGATTTGTAAGTTTCAATTAATGTAATTGGCTGTGATTTTGTCAATAAGCAGCTTGGTACCTCTTTCCAGCTCCCAAGGGTATACGTGCCTGAATTCTCAAACTGTGCAATAGATCCATTCCCTTAAGAGTAATTTTTTTCTCCATTTTAACAACACCAGAATGGTGCACTAGAGTAAAAATATCCTCTTCTCAAGTAAACTGCAATACTGGCCATTAGGATTTAATTTATTGTAAAGAGAGAATATGTAAATTACTTACGGAATCTAACAGAACCCACACACACACCAGTGGAACTGATCCTATGAAAGTACAAGTTAAGTACTACTAAATAGTATGTCATTCTCTACTTTTTGAATCACTCTCTAATCTCTTTAAAAACTGCAATATGCAAATTTACAGGTGATGCCATTCTTGGTCCCCAATTATCTTGTGCTATAGGGGTAATCTGGGATTATACAAAGACGGCTCAGTCTAAAGCACTGTGCCAGCACACAGAACATTTAGTTTCAATTTCTGGCTCTGTTACTGACTAGGAATATGACGGGCCGTCCTAAATTAACACCGGTCTGAAGAAATGAAATCACTATCTGGACAAGTACATTGAAAAAATTAAAATGAGAAATTTGATTCACTGAACTAGTAGTAATAACACAATTTTATAATATATCACATAATGCTTTCCTTATTACAATCTTGTGGGCTAGGTAATACATATGTTATTATCCCATTTTTGAAGATGAGGGAGAAACTAAGGTTTGGAGGGATAAAGCAATTTGTACAGAGTTACACATGTAGTAAGTATCAAAATGCATACAGCTAATTAATATTCAAGCTGAGACTTGAATCCAGGTCTTTGGACTCCAAATTTAGTTTTCTTTCCATGAGACCACACTCAAAGAGTATTCCCTTCAAGGATGTAATAATGTTGATTAAGTTCTTATCACTTCTATTTAAATTTCCTGAATGACTACAACATGAAGAGTTTCACAGTGCTAATTTTTTTTTGGCAATTGGGGTTAAGTGACTTGTCCAGGGTCACACAGCTAGTAAATGTGAAGTGTTTGGTCTGAGGCTAGATTTGAACTCAGGTCCTCCTGACTCCAGGGCTGGTGCTGTATCCACTGTGCCACCTAGCTGCCCCCTCATAGTGCTATTTTCAAGAGTGAGGATATCAGTTTCAGTATTTCAGCTAACATCAATTTTATTCCAATGAAGTAATACTCATTCTTCAGAAGGAAAAAGAAAATTTTACTAATATTTTTCCTTTTTTCTTAACATTCAATTGAAATGGTGTGGTGTTAGCTAGCTTATAAAAAGTAGACTGGTGGGACAGCTAGGTGATGCAATGGATAGAGCACCAACCCTGGAGTCAGGAGGACCTGAGTTCAAATCCGACCTCAGACACATGATACTCACTAGCTGTGTGACCCTGGGCAAGTCACTTAACCTTGATTGCCTTACCCCCCCCCGCCAAAAAAATAAAATGGTACAGAAGAATAAATTGTATATTTAAGGACTGAGGTGTTCAATAGCTAATTTATCCTTATTTCTCCTAGCAGATTGTTTTAAACTTGACTTGTCCATATATAAAATGGAACAACAACCCAAACTCCCTCCTAAGCACATGAACAAAAATGAATAATGAAAAGCCAGAGGAAATAATTAATGATTAATAATGTTTCTACTTTTTTGAAGAGTTGATAGGAGAAGAAGACATTTAACGCTACAAAAAAAAAATCAAAAGTGTATCTGAAATTTCTTTGATATAGAGAGGCCCCTCAAGCAATACAGGTCAGTACCTTCTTTGTAATTTATAGTCCTTAGAGAGTTGCCTAGGAAACTGAAGGGTTAAGTGCCTTGCAAACAGTCACACAGTCAGTATATGTCAGAGATAGAACTTGGACCTTGGCTTTCTTAACCAATTGAAATAATGGAATCAGCTGTATAATTCTCCAGACACAAATCTAGTGCCTTCTCTTTCTACCAATTCTGGCCCAACTAATGGTTTGTCTAATCAAGATATATGTACTGAAAGACTACTACTGTTTTAACTGGCTTTTGCCTCTTTTTGCATTCCCAGTCCAGCATAGTGACTGCTGCATAGTAGGTACTTAATAAATGTTTACCGACTGAATGATTATCCAACTACATGACATAATCAGGACAATACATATTATTTATCCACTTGGAGATTCCAGCCTGGATTGATAGATTGACTCTTTAGTACAATGACACTGTTCAGTTAGCAGGTCTTCCATAAACAGGAGAAACTGGATAACCTCACCACTTCTATTTGGATTTTATGCAGTTCGCTCCTCCATGACATTGGCAAACACTGATGGTAGGTTTATAGTTTCTAAGTTTATGCATTACTTGATACTGATGATCAGAGGGCAGCTGAAGATAGTTATCTTGGATTTCATCTATCAAGGAATTGAACGCACGCATGTGAGACACCTTGTTGAAAGAGTTGCTTTAAGACTGAATTTTTTTCCTGATGCCAAGTTCAGCACTCTAACAATTACATCAAAATATAACATAATGAAGCTGCTACATCATATGGTGGGTAGCCAGCAGGACTGACAGAAACACCTGAGTTTAAGTCTTGCTTAGATATTTACTAGCTGGGAGACTCTTGGGCAAATCACTTAACCTCTCCGTGTTTCAGTTTTCTCATCTGTGAAATTGGGATAATAATAGCAAATACCTCAAAATGTTGTTGTGGGGGTCAAATGTGTGATGTTAACATATGGAAAGGGCTTTGGCAACCTTCAAGCATTATAAAACACTAATTTTTGTTAATTTATTATACATTATTAGAATTATATTATTGTGTGTCATACTACTACTTTGTTATTCTATTGTTACATATTAATATAGCCACATATTTCTGTATAACTTATTTCTAGTATTTCAGAATATGTCAAATGTTTCAAAGCCAATAGGCAAC